CTCCCGACTGACCAGCTCCAGGGCGACAGCCACGACGGCTACCGCCACAACCCCAACTAGCGTACCACTCACGAAGCTGCTGGGGCGTGAGAGACTCGCGCGGACGTCGCTGGAGCTGCATCTGGCCACCGCCAGTAGCAGCAGTAGCAGTAGTAGCAGCAGTAGCAGCAGCAGTAGCCTAGTAGCAGTAACAGAAGTAGCAGAAGTAGCAGGAGTAGCAGCGCGGGCAGGGCAGGCGCGGCAGGCAGATGGCGCGGCAGCGCGCTAACAAGGCAGGCGCGCGGGAAGCGCGGGTAGGGCAGGTGCTCACCAGTGGCGGGAAGGGCAGGCGCTCGCCGTGCGAGCAGGGCCGGCGCTTGGCGGGCGGCGGCAGGGTAGGCGCACGACGGCGGCGACGGCGGAGTAGGGCCGCGTCAGCCGCAAGGCTGGGGCCACGACAGCAGCAGGGCAGGGCCGCGGCAGCTGCTGCAGGGCGGGGCCGTGTCGGAGGCAGGGCGGGGCCAGGCGGGGCCGCGTCAGCGGCAGGGCGGGGCCGCGACAGCGGCAGGGCGGGGCCGCATCAGCGGCAGGGCGGGGCCGCGACAGCGGCAGGGCGGGGCCGCGTCGGCGGCAGGGCGGGGCCGCGGCAGCGGCAGGGCGGGGCCGCGTCAGCGGCAGGGCGGGGCCGCGACCTAGCCTGAAGGGCCTGCAGGGGCGGCTTGCGGGCCTGACGGGCCTGCAGAGGCGGCGCGCGGGCCTTACGGGCGTGCAGGGGCGGCGCGCGGGCCTTACGGGCCTGTAGGGGCGGCGCGCTGGCCTTACGGGCCTGCAGGGGCGGCACACTGGCCTTACGGGTCTGCAGGGCGGTGCGCGCGGAGCTAGGACAACAGTAGGCAGCGCGAGGGCTGCAGGACGGCGCGCGCAGCGCAGCACGTCACAAGGCAAGGCAGGGGAAGGCGCGCGCAGGACAACACGTGGGGTAGCGCGGTAACCGCAACGGTAGGTGGGCCCGGAAAAAAAAGACGGTCCTACGGACCTAGTGCTCTGATACCATGTTAGAATCTAGTAGCAGGAATGAATGGACTAGATCAGGGTTTGGTACAAATATGAAACCCTAATGGGGTTGTACAACATATTGGCTACCCCACTACAGCCTACACATATATGACATGCATATAATTTGACACTTATGCACTCTATGCCATCAGATAAGACCCCACAGCCCATTTTGAGCACATTTAGGAGAAGACCCGAGGGTCTACTAACCGGGAGATCACGGTAGGATACAACCCCAGTTAGGGTTTCATACTTGTATCTCCCAAGTCATCGTGCTTTTGCTCGAGGCCGTGCCTCCACCACAGTGAATAGCAAGCACAAGCCTTAACCCTCTGACCTTATATCCAGCCTAAGCGCCATTGCACGGCCTGCACCATTCCTCAAGGCTGTGAAGGGATGAGCTTCGAGTCTGCCTCACACAAGGGAACTACCGTAACCTGCTGCTATTCAAAGATGAGCTTTGCATCGGCCGCCTCGTTCTTGACTCGATCCACCATCTGCACCTCACCGTCCGTCCGTCCCATGTGACACAAACACAGCAGCACCCAACCGCAAGGCACAGCACCCATCCGCACTGCATCACGCCCACTCTCCGCAGCTGTGATATCTGGCGATGAGCTTGGAGTCAGCGGCCACGATCTTGACTCGATCCACCATCTCCACCTCGCCATCCACCCCATGCATCACAAACACAGCAGCCCCCATTTGCACCGCACCGCACCGCACCCACTCTCCAAGCATGCACATCGCAACCACCCTGCTATCTGACGATGAGCTTGGAGTCGGCCGCCACGATCTTGACGCGATCCACCATCTGCACCTCGCAGTCCGCAAACACTGCAACACCCATCTGCACCGCACCACAACCACTCTCCACCGCACACAAAGCTGCGCTATCTGGCGATGAGCTTGGAATCAGCGGCCACGATCTTGACGCGGTCCACCATATGCACCTCGCCGTCCGTCTGAAACACCGCATCCGTCAGAATGAACGTCCACAGGCTCTCACAGAACCGGTACGTGTGCAGGTGGCCCTGGCAGGTGGAAAGGGGTGCAGTGCAGTGGCACATGGTAGGAGAAAAATACTGATGATGGAAGGAAGCCTGTGGGAATGGACCAACACAGTTGTGCAAGTAGCTGTGGCAGCAAGCAGTCGAAACAGATCAGCAAAGGAGACCTTAAGCGGATCAAGTAGAGAGACGAGACGGGGGTATGAGGAGAGGTGCAACAAGTGAAGCGGGCGGGCAGAGAGAAGCAGAAGACGAAACACAGGGTGATTCCAATCTGGTCCACACCCACTGCCTTCACAGGACCAGAGATTTCTAGAGATTAGGCTCGTGTGAGCGGTGCTCCGTGCGGAGTGAGCGGAGGGGAAGCGAGCGGAGGGGAAGCGAGCGGAGGGGAAGCGAGCGGAGGGGAAGCGAGCGGAGGGGAAGCGAGCGGAGGGGAAGCGAGCGGAGGGGAAGCGAGCGGAGGGGAAGCGAGCGGAGGGGAAGCGAGCGGAGGGGAAGCGAGCGGAGGGGAAGCGAGCGGGGGGGAAACGAGCGGAGGGGAAGCGAGCGGGGGGGAAGCGAGCGGAGGGGAAGCGAGCGGAGGGGAAGCGAGCGGAGGGGAAGCGAGCGGAGGGGAAGCGAGCGGAGGGGAAGCGAGCGGAGGGGAAGCGAGCGGAGGGGAAGGGAGCGGAGGGGAAGCGAGCGGAGGGGAAGCGAGCGGAGGGGAAGCGAGCGGGGGGGAAGCGAGCGGAGGGGAAGCGAGCGGAGGGGAAGCGAGCGGAGGGGAAGCGAGCGGAGGGGAAGCGAGCGGAGGGGAAGCGAGCGGAGGGGAAGCGAGCGGAGGGGAAGCGATCGGAGGGGTAGCGAGCGGAGGGGTAGCGAGCGGGGGGGAAGCGAGCGGAGGGGAAGCGAGCGGAGGGGAAGCGAGCGGAGGGGAAGCGAGCGGAGGGGTAGCGAGTGGGGGGGAAGCGAGGGGAGGGGAAGCGAGCGGGGGGGAAGCGAGCGGGGGGGAAGCGAGCGGAGGGGAAGCGAGCGGAGGGGAAGCGAGCGGAGGGGAAGCGAGCGGAGGGGAAGCGAGCGGAGGGGAAGCGAGCGGAGGGGAAGCGAGCGGAGGGGAAGCGAGCGGAGGGGAAGCGAGCGGAGGGGAAGCGAGCGGAGGGGTAGCGAGCGGGGGGGAAGCGAGCGGAGGGGAAGCGAGGGGAGGGGAAGCGAGCGGAGGGGAAGCGAGCGGGGGGGAAGCGAGCGGAGGGGAAGCGAGGGGAGGGGAAGCGAGCGGAGGGGAAGCGAGCGGGGGGGAAGTGAGAAAGGGGGTTGGGGGGCGTGGGGATGGGGAGGCGAGGGGATGGGAGGAAGGTGAGAGGATGGCTAACCTTGAAGTTGGTTTTGGACTTGACTTTGGTTTCGAGAGCCTCCACCAGCGACTGAGGGGGGTGTAGTGCAGTGGAGAAAGGTATAGACATGCAGGGAGGGATGGAGATTGGTAGGGAGGTAAGGGTGGGTCGATGCATGGAGGAACAGACGAACCGGCGTAAAGCCATACGGGCGTAAGGGCGAATGGGCGAACGGGCGAACGAGAAAACAATTGGGTGGAAGGACGACGGCAGCGGCCTCAGGCAGGCAGACGGAGCAACACACAAATACAGATTGACACGGTCGGGCGCCAGGACGCCTTTTGAGGCGCCTCAACCTGCGCTATGGTGCGCCTCAACCTGCGCCATGGTGCGCCTCAACCTGCGCCATGGTGCGCCTCAACCTGCGCCATGGTGCGCCTCAACCTGCGCCATGGTGCGCCCCAACCTGCGCCATGGTGCGCCTCAACCTGCGCCATGATGCGCCTCAACCTGCGCCATGGTGCGCCTCAACCTGCGCCATGGTGCGCCCCAACCTGCGCCATGATGCGCCTCAACCTGCGCCATGGTGCGCCTCAACCTGCGCCATGGTGCGCCCCAACTTGCGCCATGGTGCGGCTACTACCTCACAAGCTAAACCAATCGTGCCTTCTGGACCTTGCCTTATCACGCTCCGAACTCCTCTTCCTCACCTTATCGAACTGCAGTATAACGCGGACGGCGAGGTCGGGCGTGATGGTGCCGTTGGACACGAGCTCGTCGAGCGCGTCCGTCAGGCACTTGCCCAGCGTCGACTTGCGGTAGTAGTCCATGCTCGCCATGATGATGCCGGCCGGCTGCGAACTTGCCGGCTAACCGGCTACGGGTGCTACGAGTATCGGCTAACAGGCTACTCTTACCGGCTGTCCGGCTTGTTTTGAAACGCCTTGATTTTCCGACTTATTCCGATGAATTACCCCTAGCGATGCTCGTAAGAGTACGACAAGTCAGCGATTGTATAGCTTCCGTTCGCAAGAGTACGAATAGCCTGCGATCGTTTTGTTTCCGTTCGCAAGAGTACGTATAGCCTGCGATCGTATCTTCTCCGTTTGCAAGAGTACGAATAGCTTGCGAACTTGTCGCTTCCGCAGTCCTGCGAATAAACGCTGCCTTGCGAGTAGGCGGCGATAGCCTGTGACCTAATCCTCTTCTCCTCGACAGAAAAACATACCTTCTGTTCCGTCCATCTCTCTGCTCGGCAGTCGATGCGGAAAAGTGCTGCCGGATTTGCCGCGACCGGGCGAACATGGGCGCAACGAAAACGCGAATCCAAGCCTTGGCGGAAGGAGTACGGGGTAACGGATCTGCTAAGTAAAAACGATCACAATACAAACAGATAAAAAGGAAGACGGTGAGTTCTCATAAAACTTGCATAAAAAGCCAATAAATCTGTACTTCATATGCTGTTTCATAAGTAAAACACTGTGCGAGATCAGCACTGCCAATGGCACCTGTTGGCATGAATACCATTTTCATATTCTTTACATTCGGTGCTCCTTCACATTCGGTGCTCCTTCACATTCGGTACTCCATCAGGTGCTAATTCCACTTACCGGTACGGTACAAACACAATCATAGTATCTATCTACCCTTTGCTCTTACGCTTCTTCCCAACAGCTGCCTCCACACTACTGCCTGTGCTGCCCCTCCTCCCAAACCGCCCTGCCCGGCTCTCCTCCCCGCCATCGTCACTCCCATCCCCATCTCCCACTCCTCCCACTATCTCCTCCTCCCTTCTCCCCCTAACCCCCCACTTCCCCCTCCCAGCCAACCTAGCCCCCAATCTCTCCTCCACAGCAGCAGCAGTCCGTGCAGCTGACTGTGCCACTCCCTCCCCCCACCCTCCCCCTCCCCCTCCTCCCCCCCTGCCTCCCCCTCCTCTTCCCCCTCCCCCTCCCCTTCCTCCTCCCCCAGTGCCCCCAGCGCCCATGGCTTGGCTGTGCGAGACAAAGCGAGCGCCCAGGCCCAGTCTGAGGGGAGGGGCCAAAGGAAGGGATGGGGGGGGGATGAGGCGAGGGATGAGGGGGGGAATGGGGCGAGGGATGAGGGGGGGAATGGGGCGAGGGATGAGGGGGGGAATGGGGCGAGGGATGGGGGGAGGGGTTGGGCCGAGGGAGGGGTTGGGGCGAGGGATGAGAGGAAGGGATGGAGAAAGGGGCCGGGGCATTGAGATGGCGGAGGGAATGGGGGAAGGGGATGACGGGAGGGGATGGAGGAAGGAAATGGGGGGAAGGGATGAGGATAGGCGATGGATGATGGAGGTGGGAAAGGGCCGGGGAGCAGTGTGAAACAAAGGGGCAAGGTACTGCTGGGGCATCAACCCTTGTGCCAGTGGAAGGCGTGGGGGCTGGGAGCACTGTGAGCAACAGCGGTTCTGTGGGGTGAAGAATGGGTTTTCAGGCCTATGGGCTGAGGGGAAATGAAAGGGGAGAGGAATGTGGGGGAAGCAATAAGGGTGTCTCAACAAGTCCATTCACCCCCCACCAACACGCATAATTTAAACCCGTATCGTTAAACCTAACCTCCGAAGTGCATACCTCAAACCCATAACCTGAACCCTCTTGGTAACCCTAAGTCTGTAGTCCTAAACCCACAATCCTACCCGTAACCCTAAACCCATTACCTCAAACCCGAAACCCGTAACCTGAAATCACCAATGTGCATACCTGGGTGGACGAGCCATCGCCTCCAACGCATCCCCACCGGTCATCTCCGACTCTCTGAACGCATCCCCGTTATAAGCATCCCCTCTTCCAGCATCAATCACAGCCTCTGCACCGTCGCCCCCCTCCCCCCTGTGCGCTGCCATCTGTCCCAGCATGCGCTGGGCCTGGCATGGCACGGCAGGGGTGACACGGAGGAGCAATGAGAATCAGGGGGACGCAAGGGGTGGCAAAGGGGGAGTTTGGATGGAGTGGGCGTGCTGTACTCCTGCGCTTCACTGCAGGCGCACACGAGGCTGGATGCTCTTGCCTCCACGGCTGTCCCTGTGCCTGTGCCTGTGCCTGTGCCTGTGCCTGGGCTCACACGAGGCGCGGGCAGCACACACGAAACGTGGAGGGCCGGGGTGTGCAGGGGAGGGAAGAGGGGGGAAGATTAGAAAGGGGAAAGGGAGGGATGTAGTGGGATCGGAAAGGAAGGGAAGGTAAGGGAAGGGAAGGGAAGGGAAGGAAAGTAGGGAAGAAAAGGGAAAGGGGGGGAGAAAAGGGAACGGAAGGGAAGGGAAGGGATGTGGGGCAAAGAAAAGGGGACGTGAAGGGCAGCACACAAAAGGCTTGCATTCAGCAGAGGTAAGGTGGCGAAGAGATGAGCAAGACACCAGGAGCGAGGGAGGGGCGATAAGAAGTTCTTGAGAACAAGGGGAAACTGTTGAGCTGTGTGACGGCAGAACTCCATGGGTGAGCACACAGCTGCTGCTGCGTGAGCACCCATCATTTGATACCAAGCGACTGCGTTGGATACCAAAGAACAGTGTGGCGTGGCGTGGCGTGGCGTGGCGTGGCGTGGCGTATAGACCCTTGGCTGGTACCAAATGATGGTGAGAGTACAGTGGGTGCCATGCGACGTATAGTCTGCTGGAACACCAACCCTCATGCCTCATCCGTAATCCCCCTAACCCCCGAACCCCCGCCAGACCCCCGAACCCTGAGGCTCTGAACGCTAGAACCGCTTCAAAGAGGTTCAAACCGCAGAGGTCAAGTCCGACGTGCCTCGAACCGAAATCCTTACAAACATCTTTCAGGAGTGACCTGCCCCAGACCAACCGACCGACCGTCGCACCATGGAAAGAGCCTCGTTTGAAAGGACCACTTTAGCCTGCCGCTCGCTTTCGCCCGTCCCAACTCCGCTACCGCCTGTCTTGCCTCCGCCACTGTTTCCCCCGCCCGCGCCGTGTCTGCCGGCGGCGGAACCGCCGCCGCTGCCTGCCGCCTGCGATGAGGCGAGCGCGCGGAGGCGCTTCAGCGGGACGAGGCGCTCCGCCATGGCGGGCGGGCGTAGCTTGCTTTACCCGGTGTGACTCTGTGAGCAAGAGAGTACTCGAGTGTCTGCCTACTCTAGGATATGGCTACAATAAGGTCTGGTTACCTAGCGTAATGCGACGAAGGAACACGTGAGGTGATTAGCTCATGGGCGTGGTGTGTACGACTTTCTCTTCTCTGCTCCATAATTGCTGCGGAGCAAGCGAAAGGGGGTCAGTCACGTTGCGAAATTGATGCTCGGTTTCTAGTGCGACAACTAACGGTTGGGTGAGATGCGATGAGGCAAACTATACGAGTTTTTGTAAGGGAAAATCCTTTCCTTCGTCCCTCCTCAGAGCATATACCACTGTTCCCCCAACAACTCTCAGCAGTGCACCGTTACCACTCTCGACACTCGCCTCGACTACTGTTCCCGCCACTGTTCATGACGCGACCCAACCTCACGGTACGTTTGGTATTCCGCGCTCTGGGCCTCCGCCTCGACAATTCCTAGCCTCGGGTTTAGGGTTTAGGGTTTACCGTTTTCACACATTACCGTTACCACTTTAGCTTCGCTATATATTCTTCTCCCATGCCTTCGCTTGATGTATTGTTTTGCTTCGATAGTGCAATTCTCGCTGGCTGGCTCAATTGCACTCGTAACACTTGGTTTTCAGAGCCCACGATCTCTTCTCGGATCGCACCCACACCTTCGCTTCCCCACTATCTCAATTTTTAGAGGGGGCAAACGTCTCTCAACGCCGAAACACCGCCGCTCGAGTGCTCTCTCGAAAGCATGCACGGCCACGACTGAGGCTCTCGCTGAGCTTGCCCGACACCTTCCCCCTCCCCCCCCCCCCCCCATGGCCGAATTCAACCTCGCGATGTTGACGCATGAGCAGCTCGACCAGCTCGTACGCCAACTTGAAGATTCGGCGCTCAAAATCGCGACACTCACGGCGGAACGCGACTCCGCCCGCCAGCAATCAACGGCAAATGCACCAGCACCAGCACCGACATCTGCAAATTCACCTGCGCAATCGGATGAGCCAATGTCATCTCGTCCGGCACACCGTCACATCACGACAGCGTGGGACAGCGCTCAAGCACAGCCAGCGATGGCACTGCCCAATCAATGCCTGGCATGGAGAGGAACAGAGCCGCACCAAACACGAGCGGGCCTCGTGAAGCCCGTCGTCCTGTCGAATTTGCAGCGACAAGTGGCAACGACGGCATCATCTCATCGTTCAAACCGCAGCGTTCGCCTTGTTTCGACCCTAGCCAACGTCGAAATCCAACAGTTTAATCATGGGTCTTCACGATGAACGTCTTCTTCGACGCGAATTTGGGCGTGTCCAGTGCGTACACTTTGGCGTTTTTACTAAAAATTTACGTACCTGGTATCAGCTATCAAAATGGTACTGCCAGTTGCACCCTCAAATTTTTGTGTCCAGAAATGAGCGGCGGACACAATCCGCCACGAAGCACAACCCTAACAGCATATGTGCGACAGTGGCGAGAGCACAATTCTATAGCCATAATTACGTCAGCTCGATTCTCGCACCATCAGTGTCGCGTGACGTTGAAATCGAAAGTGCACAGTGATTTTTAGGCGAAAACTTTATCGCAAAATACAAAGTAAAATTCGCTAAGTCTGGCACTGTAGCATTTCAGACGCATACACGTTGGAATGAGGAAGTTGTTATGTGCGTCGTGCGTCATTTTCACGATTCGGCAGGCGTGTGGGCTGTGCCCGTATTTTACATTTTGGGGTGTGCGAGTCCAAAAAACATGTAAAATGGAGGTTACATTCGAGAAATGTGGTAACTGTAGCGGCAGGTGAGCTGTAAATGTACGCGCTGGACACGCCCTTACGTCGAGTCGGACGCAGCGAAGATACGATACGCTGTTTCGCTGCTACGAGGCCCCGCCATGGACTGGTGGCGAGTCATTGTGACGTCGCCACGCGCCGACGAGCCGCCGATGCAAGGGGAAGGACCCACGGGTCCAGCCGTCGACTGGAATTCGTTCTGTGAAACCGCCCAGTACAGCACGTGGGATGCGTGGTGCGCGTGGCTTCGGGCGCGCTTCGAGCCGATCGCGGCTTCAATTTTGGCGCGTCAGAGACTGCGCACTTGGCTGTAGTTCGGGTCGGTTCAAAACTACACGAACGGTTTTCTGTGCGAGCAAGTCTGCTACATGCACGAGGCGGGGAGGGCAGACCTTTACGTCGGCGGACTACATCTCGCACGATATCATGATTCGCGGGCTATCTAATTTCAATGAAGTCCTCCGAGACCGGGGTCCTACTACGGACATCGATCTCAGGGACCGACCGAGCATGCCAGCGTATACGCCGTTGCGGCAAACGCAGCTGCCGCACCATTCAAGGGGCGCTGCTTTGCTTGCAATAGGCTGGGCCATCGCAAGAGCGAGTGCCCAGAGGAGCTGAGACGCTATGGAGCAGAGCAGGGGAGGGAGTCTGGAAGGCAGGGAAACACCAACAGTCATTAGAGATCGAGCCCACTACTGACGAGACTCACTGCTCGCCCGACCCCAATGACCCTCACCGAGTCACAGTACCGATTCACGCTATCGATCGGGCTCGGATGAATAAGGAGGGTACAGCGACGGATTGCCCAACACTGGTTTACGGAAAAATACATGGGACAGCAGTGAAGATCTTTATAGACGGAGGAGCAAGTCACGGTTTAGTTAATACCGCAACTGCACGGAAGCTGCAACTGATGCTTACCGGAGGTCGACGCACGTACAGTTGACGGCGCGCCACTGGCCATACAGGAGAAAGTGGAGAGAGTGAAAGTTCGCTGCGGGGGAAACCTGAGCACTACCGGGCTGCTATGAGGGTACTGTGCTACTTGTGCTGTACATCAGGCATGGTGTGCTTGGAGGACGGCGCCCAGTTATGCTCACAGGGCTCTCAGACGCTTCTTGGGCTGACGACCAAGAGACTCAGCGGTCGTCACAAGGATACACGTTCAGTCTCGGTACTGGTTCTGTCTCGTGGAGGTCCACTCGCTCGTCTTTTGAGCTTAGTTCCACCTGTGAGGCCGAGATATACGCTGGGGCTATGGCTGCACAGGAGTTACGCTAGCTTACCTACTTGCTGACTGAGTTGGGTGAGCGGCCTCGTTGTCGTCCGGACCTGTACGTCTATTACAAGGCCATGATTGCATTGTGTCGGGAGCAAGAGCACTGAACAAAGCACATTGCTCTTCGATACAATCTCACACGAGAGTTATAACAGAGTGGTCAGCTTCACCTTATAGCTTGCGTGGCCTTATATGCCAACACTGTTGATATCTTTACCAAGGCCCTTGGGTCTGGTGATCATCATCGTTTCTGCACTACTCTAGGCGTTGTCCCTACTCTGCCTCACTTGCTTGTCTCTTGACTTTGCCTTGTATTTTGATATATATAAACCTGCATGCTTACTCTTGTTAGCTTGTCATCACTGTACTGTTTGTGCTCTTAAAACACTGCATTTGAACTAGCCTTGTGGTCGTTTGCTTGTGCTCGGACTGTGTGGTGATCTTGAGATCCACCCAGAGCTTTGTTTTGTGTCTTCTCTTGACTGGTCTTGTGACCATTTGTTGCTCTTACTATCCCCCACTTCGGCTATGGGGTTGTGTCAAATTACATACAATTGTTAGTGTTTAAGCTGTAGTGGGGTAGCCTATATCGGGTACAACTCTTTTAGGGTTACTACTTGTCAACGGGAGTTGTGTGTTGGCCCCGTCCTCGCTTGGGCGGAGCCGAACTTCGTGGTCGGGTGTGCGGGAAATGCAGCCGACATCCTATAGTGGGCGACGCTGACTTGGCCAAGCTGGTTGACGGGCTT